TTAATTTCCTCCATTGCCTCCTCAGTTTTTAAGGTATATATGATGGGATTTAACAAAGGAGGAAGGATCACAGACAAAGATGTGCTAGAGGATTCTGCTGTAAGTGTCCACCAGAACATTTGACCATCTAATCATATATGTTACTAAAATAGGTATAGAATTAATGGCCACTAAGACTAAGTGAGTCATGCATGTTTTAAATGCTTTCCACCTTCCCTGGGCAGATGAAATCCTTGAAAGAGCAGCTATAATGCACATGTACAGTATGATGAAATAATCAAAGCTAGTGGTACAAAAAAGTAAGAAACAATATGCTGTAAACTATGGCTATAGTCCAGTTTGAAGTGTAGCTGCTGCAGGCCTCTTTGAACACTGGTCCATGATCACAGAAATAACTCTTAATGACAGGAACAGGTTGACAGAATGATAAGTGTGTCATAAAAACTATTGACATACATGGGAGTATGGAAGCTAATATCCAGCAAAAATCAATTATCAAAAACATCCTGGTGTTTGTGTTGATTGTGTTGCTTCTCAGTGGAAAACAAATAGAGACAAGTCTTGCGTAAGCCATAACAGCAAGGGAGAGAGATTCCATGCTATGCAGAAAATGAACAAAAAAATTGAGTTAAAAATATCTCATATAAAACAAAACAAAATAAAATAAAATAAGAGCTGTGCTAATGCTGACATCTACTACAGATACATTAAAAACTGCTATGCATTTTCAAATGAAATATGACAATACTGTAGAATTAATAATGATCCTAGTAAAACAGAAACAATCTGCACACATTTCCTGTATCATTTTCATTTGCCATTTACATGGTTTTGACTATTACAGAATTGAAGGGATGTTATAAGTGTCCGTATCATTATCTATATTTTTAAATAAGAGTAAACTTCCCTATATGAAACACAAACAAGATGTAATAAATAAGCTCTATTGCAAATTTCTTTTAAAGTGCATGTTCCATTTCATACCCAATGATTGTGAAATTCGTTCTCTGTGCTCTCATTCTTATTCTTACATAAGCGTTAATTTTTCTATATGAAACACAAGATTTACTACATAAGCTCTACTACTAATTTCTTTAAATGTGCTTGCTCTGTTTCATACCTGACGGAAAGATGATGATTAAATTCATTCTCTGTGTTGCCTCAATATCAGCATCCTACCCTAAATCATCCTTTTATGTACCACAGTGTAGTTGTCATCACCATGTCCTCAACTGGTATTACCATTCCTGTGTGCATGTGTGGTTACTCTTGTGTCACTAACAAAAAACCTGCAAATATTCAGCTCTTTAACCTACTAGTCTTAGGACAGTGTGAGAAACCATCTGGAAACGCACGCAAACATGGGGAGAATATTTAATAAACTCCAGGCAGAAAGCACCTCAGGTTCAGAACTGTGCCCAGGGTACCAGCGTTGAGAGGGAGTAATGCTAACCACTGCACTGCTGTGGAAGATACTTGTTATCTTGTTTATATTTCAAAAGGAAATATGTCAGCAAATCCTTTCTTTTCATTAAAACTATACGAAGTGATCCAGGCATTCACAATGCACGACAGAGTACAGTTATATGCTGGGCACACACCTCACCACAGTATACCACACTCCACTTTTATAAATCTTCTTTTGTGGGACTGCATTTTTTGTAAAATCACCAGGTGGTGCAGTGAATGCTTAATGTGGCATATGGAAGCATGTGGGCTGTCGCCAGAAAATGGCTGATTTTGAATCCTGGTCAATGCTGAAGGACAATCTTTTTCCAATTATAGAATTTAAGTTGTATACAGCTTAGACTTTTATTAACTGTAACCTGTGTATGACAGTACGTTAAATATTAAATTGATTAAAAAAGAATGTAGGCCAAAAAATAAACTATTCAGTTGGATATAGAAAAATGTTTATTATTATACTGTAGCTTGTTGTGAGCATAATGAGCTTCTTTCAGGTTTACATCTGCATAGATACAATCTACAGTATATATTTTGTCTTAATGTAAATTTCAGCAATGAGTCATCAGGAAACAATTTAAATTTTGATTGTGAAAAATATATTTCACACATACTGCACTGTAGTGGCTTAAAAGCTACACAGTCTCATACATTACATATATCTAATGTACAGTACATACAGTTGATATTAGTGGTAGTTAAATGTAAAAAACAAAGTACACAACAGTATTCCACCTTGTTCATAAACATTTTATGGTTTACGTTTTTAACTTGATACCTTATGGTGATTTTTAAGTTATGAGGTGCTTGTTCTAACTATATAGTACTTGCTGTTGCTTTTGCTGTGAACGTTGTAGTACTGATTTAATTTCACTTGATAGGGAACTGTGTAACTAAAGAATTGTTGGCAGCTAAACATATCACTTGTTGAGATTTTGGAAACATTTTGGTACGTTTGTTTTAATTAATTTTACTGTCCTTACAGTTGTATTGACAATGAAACACTCATAGACTGTAATATAGTCAATTGCAGTTTAGCATAGAAGTTTAGATGGCTGCAAGTTACTCAGAAGGTGAACAGTTTGATTCCCGGGACAGACTATTATTTTTTTTAAATAGTCGAATATATAAAGAAGTAGTTTATTATTAAAGCTTGTTGTGAACGTGATGTGCCTCTTTCAGGTTTACATGCACAATGAGAAAACAATTTAACTTTAAATTTTTATTATGAAAAATATATTTCACACATACTTTATTTTAGTGGCTTTAAAATCATATAGTGTCATACTGTACTTGTTATATACAGTGTACAGTATACTTATATAGTACACCAATCATTCATGTGTACACTATTGTTTTGGCATATTTGTGGATATGACAATTTGTGTGTGAGGAAAAATTCAGTAACATTTAAGGTTATGGAAAAATTCAT